TATATATATATATATATATATATATATAATGTACATATATATATATATATATATATATATATATATATATATATATATATATATATATATATATATTTATAATATACATATATGTAGCTAACTTATAACGAAAAATATTTTCATCATAGTCCTGCGAAAGACCAACCTTCCCCCACAATAAGTGCTGTGCAATATATTGGTGAAAACCAGGAATAAGAGAGGAACCGATTTTTTTTTCGAATAAATTTCCGCAGTGCAGAAAGTGGGCGTGACGTCACACTGTGGGCGGGGCTAAACCCTGTCGAGAGGACTGACGGTCGAACTATAGCCATCATTGTGTCGTTAATGAACAATCATTTCACCCTTTCGCGAATGACAAGAGCCTTTCGTTAATTGACAAACTGAAACTCACTTTAACAATGGTCCTCACAGGCGTCGATTTTGGCCAGACTGCTTTTGGATTATCTTAGTATTTCACAAGGAGATGAGAGAGTGAGAAAAAAATATAAAAAGAATTATATAGTTCTCTCACTTTCTCTCTCTCCTCTCTCTCTCTCTCTCTCTCTCTCTCTCTCTCTCCGAAGTGTTCTAATAATGTTCTGTTGTTGAAAACCACAACTCCCTTAAAATGAAATGGGAGAAATAAAGGATTTAATACCTAATAATTAAAACAACAATTTTGGGCTTCGATTCCTCTAAATTCTTTAATAGAAGAAAGCAAGAGAAAGAAACACAAAGAGAAAGAAAATAGCAGTGCTAAAATCCTACATCAACGCAACATGAACGGAACTAGGTCAAAGGTCGAATTGAGAAATGGAGGAGGGAAGGGAAGGTCTCCTGTTAGCCGCAAAACTCACGAACTCAGGAACCCACCAACACCTTTAAGACGAGTGTGGAACCTAGAATCCAGGTAGAACTTCCTTCATCGGCTGCTGTTCTGTTCGAGTAGCCCTTTTGCAAGCCTTGTTCTCTCTCTCTGTAACAGTTCTAATTTAGTTTTCCTCTGTTCTTGAGGTACTTGTTTTGTTTTAGTTCGGTTGGTTCTATCGAGTTTTAATTCTGTCAGTGTAATAGCTTGATTCTAATTTCAATGTGGATTTGTTTTGTTTCAGTTGTGCATTTATCTGCATTATAAGATCTCTGTTACCATAGCCTCACGCCATGACTTATTATCATTATAATATTTTGCTTTTGATATCGGGATCCAGAAATAAACGTAACATCAATGCATCATCACAATGGCTGATTATGCATCAACAATAGCAAGCAGATGCTACTGGTGTATAATCAGTTCTTGTTGCAGCTTTAGCACCTCCAGCTAATAAGATGGTATAATATGAACATGCTTTATGAAATTAATGACAATATTAATTCTTGTGCTGGTTTGTTAATCTCTCTCTTTTTTTGTGTGCGTTAAAAGCATTCGGGGCATTTTGCAACGGTCAACAAATGTCAGCAGGAATAGTCGTTTTACTGTTATATCAGCTGCATCAAATTAGCGATCGTTGCTGGCGGCATAAATGCGAAACCTATCAGCAAATACATAACTGAGTTCCGTTCTTGGAATATATAAGAAAAAAAAAACACACTTGGTAGTCATTTAAAAGGGAAATCAGCAATCATTCTCTTACCAAAATGGAACTAATTTCGAATGCTCTTCGTGAATCTCATTTCCTTATCTCTTCATATGCGTAAGCCAATAGATTATTCCTGATAGATCAAAAGCGAAAGAAGAGAGAGAGAGAGAGAGAGAGAGAGAGAGAGAGAGAGAGAGAGAGAGAGAGAGAGAGAGAGAGAGAGAGAGAGAGAGAGAGAGAGAGAGAGAGAGAGAGAGAGAGAGAGAGAGAGAGAGAGAGAGAGAGAGAGAGAGAGAGAGAGAGAGAGAGAGAGAGAGAGAGAGAGGGGGGGGGGGGCAAGCCAACAAACAAACAGACAGACAGATACAAAGACTCAAGAGACAGACGGACAGACAGAGAGCCGTTTCCAAACCAACATAAAAAGTAACTGAACGAGAGCAAGTGATTGAGAGACAGAAAAAAAGTTCTTCCCTTATTAGCAAAAACTTAACAATCTAATATGCAAAGTTGCCTAATTTCTCTTGCTGATGCTCAAGCCATCCCGAAAAATAGCTCGGAATATGAACCAGATGAAAATAAATATTTACACGTGCTGGCACACAAAGAGAAACCTTTGGTGTTGACGTAATTGAGTTAAGAAGAAGAAAGGAGCAAGAATAAGAGAAGAGAAGGAAGACGATGGAAGGAAGATAAGAAAATTTACGTAAAAATTTCGGAAAAGTGATTTTTTTGTTTATTTATTTATTTGTTTATTCAGTTATTTGTTGTATTTTTGTTTGTCGATTTATTTATTATTTGTTTCTTTGTCTTTTATCTTAGAAAAAAAAATAAACAGTAATAATCACTGTTATGCTTCAAAGTTACTAATGTAAATTCCAGTGATTTCCAAGAGTCTGTTATTTGTCATTACCAAATAAAGTTGTGAATATTTTAATCGCTGTTGAGTCCATTTTTGTTTTTTTCTGTACTGGGTATCATTTTTAATTCAGTACTTTACCCTGAATGAGTGATGGGTTGATAATGTAACTGTACAAAATAAATAAAGGGAAACTGTATTCTAGACATGGGTTATATTGCATACATATATTTTTTTTATTACATTTTTTTTCGTTTTTTTGAATATATAATTAAGGCGCAAAAATATACACTCTTTATTTATATGATTTGTTCTCTAACATATACTAAAATGTTCAATTATCAAGGAGGATAATATAAAGGCTTGAGAAAACTAGAGTGCTAGTAATGATAATTATAATAGTGAGAGCGAGCATGAGATGACCGTAATAGCATTAATGATAATGATAGTAACTATAATTATGAGGATGATGATAGTAGTGCTAGTAGTAGTATCAGAAGTAGTAACAGTAGTAGTAAAAGTAGCAGAAGTAGTAGTAGTAATAGTAGCAGTTGCAGCAGCAGTAGTAATAGTAATAGTAGTAGAAGCAGCAGCAGTAGTAGTAGTAATAGTAGTAATAGTAGTAGTAGTAGTAGCAGCAGTAGTAGTAGAAGTAGTTGTTCTGTGTGGGAATCCCCAGTTCCGAAAAATGTAGCCTGCTGAAGACTAAGGAAACATGATATATAGATGTCAACGCCCTAATGATTGATGTAAACGCGAATTATATTATATATATATATATATATATATATATATATATATATATATATATATATATATATATATATATATATATATATATATATATATATTATATATATATATATATATATATATATATATATATATATATATATATATATATATATATATATGTATATACATATATATATATATATATATATATATATATATATATATATATATGTGTGTGTGTGTGTGTGTGTGTGTGTGTGTGTAAGTGTGTGTGTGTATAATTATTTTTTATGCGAACAGACATTCAATCTTCGCATTTCATTAAGTCAAAAGCTGATATCCTTAGATGCCTAATTTACAATTTGTGAAATTGTAAATATCCAACTGGCGAAGCTCATTTGCAGATCAAATTGAAATAGACCGAATCATTTTTGCCTTTTAAGACTAAGATCATCATTACTGCAAGATAACATGATAAACAACCCCGGATTACAACTCGTACACAACACAAACTTCTTTCTCTGTTCTTAAAAGACTGGTATAATCATTAAAAATTTACGCTTGATGATTTAACTTATGATATCTTTATAGACTATCGCTTCTTGTAGCCGTAGAAAAAAAAAGTAAATAAATGGTGTTAATAGCGATTATGATATTGACAGAAATACAGCTACTGGTAGTAATAGAAGCGATGTTAATAATAATGTTGATGGTGAGGATGCTATTCTTCATAAAAAAGTGACAATAATGATAACGATAGCAATAATGATAATAATAATGATAATGATAGTAATGGGAATGATAATGATGGTAATAATAATGACAAATAGTAATGATATGATTGATATCACTATCATTTTCATTATCTATATCATTGCTATTATCATTATCATCATCATCATAATCATCATCATTTTCATAATTATTGTTTTATCATTATTATTATTATTATTATTGTTATTGTTATCATTTATATGATTATTATTGTTGTTATTACTAATATCGTTATCATCATCCTCATCATCTCTAACATCATCCTCATCACCATCATCATTATCATTATCATCATCATCATCATCATCATCATCATCATCACCATCATCATCATTATTATCATTGTCATTATTATCCTTATAGACAATATTTCTATTGATACTAATGATATGATGCTATCAATACTAATACCGATGATAAAGTTAATAATAACAATGAATGCATTGATACTTTTTTTTCAAAGCTAGTATTCATAACAGTAACATTATATTATTCATAGCAATGGTGATATAAACCCCATCGACAACAATGCTAATGAATGATACCATGATTTATGCTAACTCATCTATCTATATCTAAACCAGACACATTCATTTAGTCGTAAAGCAAGTGTGAATGTCCATGTGCTTGCAACATAACCCGAATTTTGCACCTGGCGAAAGCAGTTCATCATTGTCATTCTTGTGTGATGAAAAGCATTCATAATTAGTGAGTTGTTACTTCTCGTATTCATTATGTCCAGCTAATTACCCTTCGCCCTATTGTGTAGACGCTGATTACATGATGTGTAGTAAATTGGATTTATGAATTGTCTCCGGGAACTTGTTTTGTCTGTTCACGGTCCGTCAATCCATTTGTTGCGAATCATTCGAAGTTCTCCCTTTACGCAAATGAAAGCCTTTATATGCAACTGCAGTGCAGAAGGAGTCTTTTGTCTCATACTTTTTATATTTCCAAAATAAACCCTCTGCATTACTCTCTGTTTAAAAAAAGCAATATAAATCGTTATACTGATA